ATGCATGCATGCATGCATGGAGGCATGACTTCGTTAATTGACTTATTAACCAAATCCATATCTCACTTTCATTTTCCATTATCTTAAGGTACCGTTGTCTCAAAGAACATTCAAGTTTCCGCACATCTTTCAAACCCAGTCAATACCACCAAACAGAACAGGCCACAAGACAACAGTGTCAAACCTCCACCATCACAACCTACCAAGAAGGAACTCCCTCCAGTCCACAATCCAAAACAACAACATAAATATCTTCCAACTCCACCTAAAACAACCCAAAGAAAACACAAAAACAAGGGAAATAGCCAAGGTCTTCCACCAGCAGGGCCATCCGAAGTTCCCCCTTTTATGATGAAGTGTCCACCTAAGATTCTTCCTGCAATTCGAACAAAGACGCCTGAGTTCTTCATGCCTGGTTTCCCACTAACAGTGGATGCAGGATTTCCTCTCAGGTACATCCAAAGTGACGAGGAGAGTGAGGAAGAGATAGAGGCAATAACTAGAGGGATCTTGCCACTTCGTACTCAAGACACGCCTATGTATACCGTGAGCGCCAATGGCCTGGGATTTGGTATGTATTCAAGATTAGATGGATAACATAAAAGATAAAATGGATGGTTAGGATCGATGGGATTGATGGATGAATGGGGTGGGTTAATGAATGGGATGTGATGGGATAAACGGAAGAATTATGGAATGGATAYGATGGGATTGATTGAAAGGATAGATGGATGGGAAGGGTGGGATCGAGAGAAAATGAGAGCTTATGCAAGCAATTACGAGAAAAAAAGGTCACTTTAGAAGTGAAAAGAAGTGAAAAGAAGTACACTTTAACCAAAGGATTATTAATCCATTAGGGTCGATGCTTAATAAATATTAGCATCTAAATATTATTAATGTCATCAATAATTATTCTTTCAGAGCCATTTCATCCACAACCTCCAGCTATACCTAAACCACAAAATAGAAGCGAGATGCTGAGAAAAAGAGCCAAACGCCTGATGAGTGCAACCTTCAAAAGCCACTTGCCTGATAAAGAAACTCCTTTGACAATCCCCGACACGGAGCCCCAAAACAACGACAGCGCACAAGTAGGAGCCATGGAAGAACGGGCGGATCAAAAGGCATGGGATCTGATGATTGAGGATTATGAATGCTCTGACGAGGATCTCCATTTTTTATAAACTAAATATTGTGTCTAAGTTGGTAAGTAGGCTGTCAGCAAGGCTAGAGTTTGAATAAGACTAGAGTTTGAACGAGGCTATAGTTTGAACAATTAAGCTAGAGTTACTCACTATATTCTTGTTTTAGGGTATAAGTGTAACTAGGTTGATTATTATAGTGTGGTGTCTGCGAAGCAAGAGGTCCATAGTTTGATCCTCAGTTTGATCCTCAGTGACCTCACACACTTGTTTTAAGGAGCAAGTGTGGCTTTGTTAATAAGTGTGCCGCCTTCTAAGCAAGAGGTCCATAGTTTGATCCTCAGTGACCTCACACATTTGTTTTAAGGAGCATTTGTGGGTTGGTTTTTAGTGTGCTGCCTGCTAAGCAGGAAGCTTAGTTTTCGGCTAATCTTGCTTCAAAGTCCTTACATCTTATGCTTTTCTCTACTTGCCAGTTTGTGTGACCAATGTGTCACGGCATTGGTTGGAACAACTTCGTACAAGACACCTTTTTAAGAGAGGCTGTCCGTAAATATCGACCGGCTATTGTCGGAAAAAATTTTAAAAATGAAAATTTTCTTTTCCTTACCAGAAGATTACATTAGTTGAACTGATTCTCAGAAAAAAATAAAAAACTTGAAAAAAACAA